TCCTAGCCGATCGGGCCGTGATCGGACACCATGCCTCACACATGGTGGTATTGTGCTGATGTTGAATCCGGAAAGTGAGAATGAGATTGTGATACATGTCTCAAACAAGGCAACCTAGCTGATCGGGTTGTGATCGGACTCCACGCAAAAAAGCGGTGGTATTGTGAATGATGATGAATAGTATTAAATGCCCCAACCTAAAACTTTGGGCCCCAAAAACCGAGGAGCGCAACCGGCGCTCAACCGAGTGAAACCGACTGAGCAAGCCTGCTAGGTTTATTCTAACCAAACCGATTCATGAATAAATAGGAGATGGACTCCGTTAATCATAGTTAGTAAGTATCTCATTAACAACTTCCATTTCATTTTCATTAGCAGCTTAAATCATAATTATCAAAATATTACAAGTTTTATACATCATTGCCAAACATCAATATTTCTATTTTAATTCCAATACCCAACACTACCCACAACCTGTCTACGGAGCCTCTAAACACAACTGAAGAGTAATATAATATGGAAAAGCCGGTAACAAGGCTCCGGCTATACCTCAACTATAAAGTACATGATAAACAGATGAAACAGGACCCCGAAACAAAGTGGGGCTCACCAAGTCAGCTGAAAGGATGATGTGGGACTAGCTGCGACCAACACTGCCTGCTATAGAAACACCTACATCCATTTAAAGACGTAGCTCCCCCGGCAAAAGGGACGTTAGTGCCATCGAATAGCACTAGTATGTATAACTAAACACCATCTAGTTAGAAAGAACATTCATATAATAATAATGAAATCACAAGTACTACTCAAACACTTTAAATGATCACAACATTATTAAATAAAAGAATCATGCCATTTTCACATCCTTTTCCCATAGCTTTTAGTTTGGGGCATTTCATTCATATGTTCATCACTGTTCTCAATACCACCTCTATCTTAAGCGGAGTCCGATCACGACCCGATCGGCTAGGTTACCTCATTTGAGACATATATCTCAATCACCATTTCATTTCCCTTCTCCGGAGTTCAATATTAGCACATTGCCACCATGTGTGCGGCATGGTGTCCGATCACGGCCCGATCGGCTAGGCCGCCTTACCTAGGCGTGGTTTCTTTCTCATCAATCATCTCATTTGAATCTTTATTTCACATATATCGTATCAATTCATTGGCACTTGGGAACTCAACTTCTACTCATCTCAGATAACACCAATACCCAATCATAAGTACTTTCCATGAAAAACAAACTCAATCCTTGCTCAATATCGAGGATCATCAATTAAAGCATTCGTAGTATCATATAAGAACATAACAATTCGTAATTTAAGACTCACGGTCATGCTCGACACCAACGTATAGATACTCGTCACCATGCCTATACGTCGTACTCAACAAGAAACAAATAGCAAATAGGACACAACTCCTAATCCCTCAAGCTAAGGTTAGACCGAACACTTACCTCGAACTTCCACGGCCAACTCAATCATCAAACAGCGCCTTTCCTTTCGAACTCGGCTCCAAATCAATTGTATCTATACATGATCGACTTAATAACATCAANACACCAATTCATGTGGAATAACAATCAATACAAGAATTCAACTTCAATCTTACCATATTCACACAAACACCGATGAAGCTCAATTTCTAAAAGACGGAGTTTTAGCCATACATACCTCAAAGAGCTTTCCCTTAAATTTTTAGAATACACCAACACCTCTAGCAATAACAATCTATAAGGAAATAGAGGAAACCGATTAATAATTAGAAAGATTACCCATGGTGTAACCCTCTTAGGAATTTCATCAAACACCTAACAAGTGAAGTAGACTACAAGGTTCTACAATGGAAATTCCTTCTTCCCTTATCCAATTTCATCAAGAACTACCCAAAATAGTTCATTAATCCCATACACTATAGCTTAGTGTCACATGCATGGCCTATTTCTAACCCCACAATATATTTTTGAACTCATAATCTCATATATGAAATATTAGAAGTAGGACATACCCGGAAGATAGTGAGCTAGAGATTGGCATGCTTGATTCTTGAGGGTTTGTGCAAGATTGATGATAAGGAGGCTAGGTTCCTCTTTCTCTCTCTAAAATGCTCTCACCTCTCTCTAGATTTAGTGTAAAAATATTCCCAAGTGAAGCCAAAAGCTTATTTATCAAAGTGGGTTCGGATATGAAAATTTCCAAAAATGACCCCCGAAGTAAAAAAAATGTGGTGCAATTATGCTTTAGCATAATCGAAATGTGGGCATCATTCTTGCAGCATAATCAAAATGCGATAGCATAATCGACAGCATAATCAACATGCGACAACATAATGTTTTTCCCGACACTGCTTCAGTATGCGACGCATATGCGGTCCGCATGGTCGTTTTGCGATCGCAAATTGGTCGCAAATCCAGCCTTTGGTAATTTGATCATAACTTTGTGTAGGAATGTCCAAATGAAGAACGGTTTGAAACGTTGGAAACTACACTCAAAGACCTTTCATTTGATAGGTTACTCATCACATAAAATCTTATACATATTTAGATATGCTCGTTCAAAGTATGGACTAGGGCAAGTACCTTTGGAATCTTAGCCTATTATGAAATTTTCCCCATTTGGCTTCCACTTAGGCCTCTCCTTGGACCCCACCTCACTGAATATATGACTCGTACACTTGTTTACCAACTCCAATTGATGCCCACCATGTTAATAGCACATAAAATATTAAAATTAGCCTACGTGGCATCATGAAATCCTAGATTACTTAGCGAAATTTTTCCGGGGCCTTACAATATGATCCTTTTATTTGATGATGTGGTGATCGTTTAAAGCTTTTGATTGATCGTTATGATTTCTTTGTTCTTGTATGATAGTTCTTTCTAATGATATGGTGTTTAGTTATACATACTAGTAGTATTCCATGCTACTAACCCTTTTGCCGGGGGCGCTACATCTTTGAATGGATGTAGGTGGCTCCATAGCAGACAGTGTTGATCGTAGGTAGCGGAGCATCCTCCACTCAGCAATCTTGGTGAGCCCCTATTCTTCCAGGTATAGCCGGGGCCTCGTTGCCGGCATTATCATAACTATCTTTTGTATCTCTAGAGGCTCCATAGACATTTGTGTGGGTTATGTACGAGTGATGGATGGGTCAATAAACTGCGTTGTAATTCTAAACTCTTGTTCTTCTAAACTATAACTATATGAAATCTTGGAAACATAGTGAAAGCACGATCTTTCCTACTGTCTAAATAAATGAAAGCATGGTTTTCTTGGTCATAGTGAGTTGGGTAAAAAGTGCTCAAAAGGCTTGCTCAGTTGGGTTCACTCGATTGAGAGCCGATCGCGCCTCCCGAGGTTGGGGCGTGACAAGTTTAGACTCTTAGGTTTCTTTCATGCGCTTATATGGAATTGTTAGAACATGTTATATCTTTCATCTATCATGTTGATAATAGGTGTCTTGAGAGTGCTTTTCATGCTTTGCAGGCTATATCCAACGAAAGAAGTCGATGGAGCAAGTTTGGGATCAATTACAGAGAAAAGGAGGCCAATCAAACAATGCCCAAGAATTGCACCAAGTGAAAAGTTAAAGAAGTGCAGAAATTGGCCTGCCGCAGTCAGACCGTAACCGCAGCAGGACAGCGGCAGAGTAGAGTCGCAGATTCAGAGAGCCCATTTGGTCGCGGTCCCGGCGTAACCGCGGTGGGATCGCGGCAGAACGCGAAATAGCCACTGATAAAAGTGTCAAGTCGGGAAAACTTGGTGTAAAACCCTTATAAAAAGTAGGATTTGTAGTCGGCATTCTAGAAACAAAGCTTCCCGGTCGCCTGCCTCCTTATGTGGAAATTCGGCCACATTAGGTCAGATTTGTCTTGAGAGTACTTTGGGCAAGAAACACAAGTGTGAGAGATCACCCAAAACATCATAGTTCTTTATTTCTTCTTTTTCTTGCAATTTTACATGATGAATATTTTCGTATTTTATCTTCAAGTTGTTATGAGTAGCTAAAAACTTTAGTCTAAGGTTTTGATGGAACATATTGAAGGATGAACTTCTTGATTACGTTCATATAGTTTACCGGTTAATCTCTATTTGTTCAATTACGTGTTTATTGTAGTTAATTGACAGGATCCTCAATTAGCTGTGCCTATTTAGTGTGCATAACTCGGTTGAGAGTGCATATTTAGGTAATTATTGAACAACACCACTCCCAAAGTATAAGAGGGATCTATAATTGCGGGTTTAAAGGCAGGATTAGGGATAACGAAGCCTTGGGTGTGATCTAAAGTGAGCTGTAATAAACAAAGCCAGTTAGCGTAACTCGGGAGAGTGCGTCTAGTAAATTATCGCAATTACTCGGGAGAGATTTACGGTAATAAGAGTGCTCATGATTGATAGAGATATTTTGGTGAATCTATATGCAACGTAACCGGAAAGGATTCCATCAATAGGGGAAATCACTACCTTAGAACTTTCTCATTATAGTTTACAACCAAGAATATTTAGTTTACAGCTCTTAGTTATTTACTTTCAATCTTAGTTAGTAGAAATACCATCAATTATTGTTTACAAAGTTTGGAAAAGTGATTATAAAGGATTTAGTGATTCCGACAAAGGTAATTGATAGGTTAGTTCTCTGTGGGATTCGACTCCGGACTTGTAAACCGGATTATATTTGCAACGACCGCATTGTCCTATTTAGAAGGCATAGTTGGGTGTGATCAAATTTTGGCGCCGTTGCCGGGGAACTAACAGTGTTATCAATTACAATTGAAGGAAGCACAAAAATTCTTAGTGTAGTCAGTTTTCTCTACACCCAATTTTACATTGAAATTTTAACGTTTGTTGACTTGGTTGCATAGGTGCATGCCTAGAAACTCATCGAGATCTGGTGAAGTATTAGAAGCATTATCAGATCCCGAGAAATTTTTCACGGCGTTGAATCGGGCCAACCGACAAAACAAACAACAACCAATAACTGCACAATTCGAAACAATCATGGGAGATAACCAGGAAAACCCACCAGCACCAATAGCACCAGTGCCAGAGGCTGCTCTCTATGACTGGGCACAACCCACAGCAGAGAATCTATCCACAGCGATAGTAGTCCCGCAGATACAGGCTGAGTCATTCCAGATCACAAATAACATGCTGCACTTGTTGCAGAACAAGGGACTATATTCAGGGTCACAAGTTGAAGATCCTCAGCAGCACTTGAAGAATTTCTTGTCTATCTGCAAAACCCAAAGGCAGCCCAATGTAATTCCGGAAGCAATCAAACTGTTATTGTTTCCATTCTCAGTGACAGGAGCTGCCCAGACTTGGCTGAATTCACTCCCCATAAATTCTATAGCAACGTGGGATGAACTAGTCAAGCAATTCCACAACAAGTTCCATCCACCCAACAAGACTGCTCAACAAATTGATGAGATTTTGAGCTTTAAACAGAGACCGATGGAAACTTTGCATGAAACATGGGAACGTTTTAAAGGGATGCTAGTCATATGATCACACCATGGTATTCCAGATCTAATGTTAGGGCAGCGGTTCTACATGGGATTGTCAGATAGCGTAAAGAACATTGTTGATGCTTCAGCGGGTGGGGCATTTTTGAGCAAAACATGAAGAGAGGGCCAGAGTCTGCTTGACAAAATGGCACAGAATTCGGGCTGGGTAACCGGAGGTGCACCCATCACTCCAGTGGTGCACTCAGTGCCTTTAGATCCATGCAATTCTATGGCTGAAAATATGGCTACCTTATTGACACGGATGAGTATACTTACCAAGAAGGTGGCAGGGCAGAAACAGCAGGTACATATTGTTGATACTACTAATGGGGGCTTGTGCGCATCTTGCATTAGTCAGCCAGTGGGTAATCAGTGGAATGCAGAACACGATCATCATCACTACCCTGAAGACATGAACTATGTGTCTAATTATGGCGGCTAGAGACAGGGTGGTCAGAATTGGGGTCAACAAAATCAGCAATACAGGCCACCACAACCACAGTTCAACACCGGGAACATGGGAGGTATGAGACCACCCAACAATATGTCACCTTACCCACGACCATAGGGATACAATAATCAGAATCAGAAGCAAGGGTATGACCCACCTCAGCAGCAACATGGTGTAAGGCAGGATGATGGGTTTGATAGACTTGAAGCAATGATGCAGCAGGTTATTGGCTCAAATGCTAAAATTAATGAGAGAGTCGATGCACATGATGCAGCAATCAAAAATATTGAAGTACAGGTGGGACACATTTCGATGTCTCTGAATAATAATCCTCATGGGACACTACCTGCAGACACCCAGATAACCCCAAAAGATCAGGGACCGAAGCAGCTGATGGCGGTGAGTCTACGTAATGGCAGAGATCTGGATGAAGAGCAAGAAAGAGCTCGAGAAGCTAGACAGGCTGAGACACTCATACCAATGCCCATCGAGCTGGATGAATCAACGAAACTGACAGAGGTGACAGTCCAGCCTGCTCAAGAAGAAAATAGCTTTCAGAATGAGAGTGAGAAAGTAGCTGGAACAGTCCAGGAGCCAGTAGTTGAGGTAGCAACTGATAAAGATCAGTCCCAAGTGATTGGGAAGAAGAGACCTCCTGCACCCTTCCCCCAGAGGTTGGCTAAGTTCAAAAAGGAGGAGCAATACAAGAAGTTCTTTGACATGCTAAAGCAAATCCAGGTAAACATACCACTGATTGAAGCTTTGAAAGAGATGCCTGGGTATGCAAAAATGATGAAGGACTTGATGTCCCGAAAGTTTGATTTCCAAAACTTGGCCATAATTACTCTTACTCAGACCTGTAGTGCAGTGGTGACTAGACCAATTGCGGAAAAGCTGTCTGATCCAGGGAGCTTTACAATTCCATGCACTATTGGAAATTTTTTCTTTTGCTAAGGCACTTTGTGATCTAGGGTCCAGCATCAATCTTATGCCCCTAGCAATTTATAAGAGGTTGGGCATTGGAAGAGCTAGACCCACCTCTATGTTGTTGCAGCTGGCTGACAGGATGGTGAAACGACCCTCTGGAATCCTAGACGATGTGCTGATTCAGGTAGGGAAATTTGTGTTCCCTTCAGATTTTGTGATCCTAGATTGTAAGGTGGATGAGGAGATTCCCATCATTTTGGGAAGACCGTTCCTGGCCACGGGAAGAGCTCTAATTTATTGTGAGACCGGGGAACTCAAGATGAGGCTGAACGATGAAGAAATAACATTCAATGTGCAGAAATCTATGAGGCGACCAAGTGAGTTCGCCAATTGCTCTCTTATTGATGCTGTAGATGTAATTGTAGAGACTGATGATGAAAGGCTGACTATTGAGGACCCCCTTGCTGCATGTCTAATGAATTTGGATGAGGTAAATGGAGAGGATCTGGCGGGATGGGTGTTGGCATTAGAAGGTAGAGGGTTCTGGGATAGGACCCTAGAGTTTGAGCCATTGCACTTGGAAATTCGAGAAACTCCTCCAGCCAAGCCATCCATCGAAGAACCACCAAAGCTGGAATTGAAGCCATTGCCCGCCCATCTCAGGTATGAATTTCTTGGACGTAACTCCACATTACCTGTTATTATCTCATCTAGTTTGGTAGATGTGCAGGCTCAACAACTATTGCAGGTACTTAAGGAGTGCAAGACTGCCATTGGGTGGACCATGGCAGACATAAAGGGGATCAGCCCCGCCTACTGTATGCAGTAAATTCTACTGGAAGAGGGACACAAACCTTCCAGGGAACACCAAAGAATGCTGAACCCCAATATGAAGGAAGTGGTGAAGAAAGAAGTAATCAAGTGGTTAGATGCGGGAATCATTTTCCCAATCTCTGACAGTAGTTGGGTTAGCCCAGTTCAATGTGTTCCTAAAAAGGGTGGCATGTCGGTAGTCAAGAATGATAAGAATGAATTGATCTCGACAAGAACCGTCACGGGCTGGAGAATTTGCATGGACAATCGAAAGTTAAATCTAGCCACCCGGAAAGACCACTTCCCACTTCCCTTCATTGATCAGATGTTAGACAGATTGGCAGGGAGGTCACATTTTTGTTTTCTGGATGGGTACTCCGGGTACAATCAAATCTCCATTGCACCGGAGGACAGAGAGAAGACCTCTTTCAGTTGCCCGTATGGCATTTATGCCTTTCGGAGGATGCCCTTTGGCCTATGCAATGCACTCGCCACATTCCAACGGTGCATGATGGCCATATTCACTGACATGATAGAGGATATAATGGAGGTGTTGATGGATGACTTCTCAGTGGTGGGGAACTCATTTGATGAGTGCCTGATAAATCTGACTCGTGTGCTGAAGCGATGTACTAAGACTAATCTGGTTCTGAATTGGGAAAAATGCCATTTTATGGTACAAGAGGGCATAGTCTTGGGATACCGGGTGTCAAGCAAAGGAATTGAGGTGGATCGTGCCAAGGTAGATGTGATAGCAAAGCTACCCCCTCCAACTTCGGTCAAAGCAATCAGAAGCTTCCTCGGGCATGCCGGTTTCTATCGGCGATTCATAAACGATTTTTCAAAGATTGCCAACCCTCTCTGTAAGTTGTTAGAAAACCCTTTCTTGTTTTCTGATGATTGCAGGGAAGCATTTGAGGAGCTGAAAAAGAGGCTAGTCACAACACCTATCATAGTTGCCCCCGACTGGGAGCAACCGTTAGAACTCATGTGTGACGCTAGTGACTATGCAGTGGAGGCAGTGCTGGGATAGCGGAAAGACAAGCTGATGCATCCAATATACTATGCTAGCAGAACGCTGAGTGGAGCCCAGTTGAATTACACTATGACTGAGAAGGAGATGTTGGCCGTGGTGTTTGTTTTTGACTAGTTCTGATCATATCTGATTGGTTCCAAGGTAATTGTATATACTGACCACGCAGCTCTCAGGTATCTAATTGAGAAAAAGGAGTCTAAGTCGTGCCTGATTCGTTGGGTGCTGCTGTTGCAAGAATTCGACCTCGAAATTCGTGACCATAAGGGCACAAAAAATCAAGTCGCTGATCATCTATCACGACTTGAAGGAGCTGAAAAAGCAATCGAGGTCGAAGAGATTCTGGAAATCTTTCCAGACGAGCAGCTACTCGCTACTAATCTTGAGGAAGCGCCATGGGATGCAGACTTTGTTAATTACCTGGCCAGTGGTATAGTTCCTTATGACCTCTCATCTGCCCAAAGAAAGAAATTTTATCGTGATAGCCGCATCTATTACTGGGATGAGCCTTATCTGTTAAGAATATGTGTTGACAATATGATCCGGAGGTGTGTCCCCGAGATAGAACAATCTTCTGTTTTGCAGGCTTGTCACGCATCGGCATATGGAGGGCATTTTGGAGGGGTTAGGACAGCTACGAAAGTGCTTGAGGCCGGATTCTTTTGGCCAACAGTGTTTAGAGATGCACACCTATGGGTGAAGGGCTGCAATGAATGTCAGAGGACTGGGAACATTTCTAGTCGCCACGAGATGCCCATGAACCCGATTCAAGAGGTGGAAGTATTTGGTGTCTGGGGGATTGACTTCATGGGTCCCTTCGTCAGCTCCTTTGGCAATAAATACATACTGGTTGATGTGGACTACGTGTCCAAATGGGTAGAAGATACTACGTTACCCACTAATGATGGAAGAGTAGTGGTGGGATTCCTGAAGAAGAACTTATTCACCCGATTTGGGACACCACGAGCGATTATCAGCGACAGAGGCACTCACTTTTGTAATAGAGCCTTGGAAAAGTTGCTTGCTAAGTATGACGTGCGCCACAAGGTGGCTACTCCGTATCACCCGCAAACTAGTGGGCAGGTGGAAGTGTCCAACAGAGAGATCAAGAGTGTTTTGACCAAGAGTATGAACGCCACAAGAACTGATTGGGCGAGGAAGCTAGATGATGCACTCTGGGCCTACAGGACCGCGTTTAAAACACCAATTGGTATGTCACCATATAAGTTGGTGTTTGGAAAGGCCTGTCACCTGCCAGTCGAACTTGAACATAAAGCGTGGTGGGCATTGAAGCAGTTGAACTTAGACATTGAAGCTGCAGGCACAACTAGAATCACTGAGTTGCATGAGCTTGACGAGTTCAGACATCTTGCTTATGAGAGCACAAGATTGTACAAGGAAAGAATGAAGAGGTTACACGACCAGAACATTGTTGAGCGACATTTCAAACCCGGGGACATGGTATTGCTCTATAACTCAAGATTGCGGCTGTTCCCTGGTAAGCTTAAGTCAAGATGGTCTGGGCCGTTTCGAGTGGTTGAAGTATTCCCTTCAAGTGCTGTAGAGATTGCCGCTGAGAAAGACTCTCGTACATTTAGAGTCAATGGGCAGAGATTAAAACTATATGTGGGCATGAAAGAACCAAAGAAAGGGTCTGAGATCCACCTGACTGAACCTCAGAGGTCGAGCGAGCCTTAAATGCGCTCACTTGCGTCGTGCCGCGACGTTAAATCAGGCGCTGCGTGGGAAGCAACCCACGAATGTGTTGTAATTTGTAATATCATAAAAAAACAAAAACAAAAAAAACAAAAAAAAGGAGAGAGGTTGAGCGAATCTTGCGCTCGTGCTCCGTCGTGCCGCGACGTTAAATCAGGCGCTTCATGGGAGGCAACCCACGATAGTAGAATTTCTAACATGTTATATAAATGCAGGTTAGTGCGGAGGTCGTTGCATCACGAGCCTGGACATACTATGGGTAAGGTAGGCCTTAAAAGAGGTAAAACTAGTGCCTAAGGGGCATAACAAAGAACAAAAACCAAGCAATAGGCAGCCAGTAACGGGCCTACCGCGGTCGCGGCATAACCACGGTAGGACCGCGGTGTAATCCCCTCTCTGAAGTTTCCTCACTGCTGTCGAGGTGTAACCGCGGTAGGACCGCAGTGGAATCCCCTCTCTGAAGTATTCCCACCGCGGTCGCGGCGTAATCGCGGCAGGACCGCGGTGGACCAAAACGGGCCCAGGTATATGCAGCAGAAATTTTTTTATTTTTTTTATTTTTTTTTCTTCCCCCCCCCCCTTTAATTATCCTAACCTACCCACAACCAAACCCATACCCAACCGACAGAAATCCCTTTTCCCTTCTATTCTTTCTATCTCTTCTCTCTATCTTCTCTCCCAACTCTCTCAATTTCTCCATTATTTTTCTTCTTCTTCTTCCCAAAACTTCTTCTTCCTCCCAAATCCTCTCTTCTTCTTCTCCATTTTTCTTTCTCTTTCTTCTTCTTCTCACCATAACCCACTGTTTCCTCCCATTAACCAAAAACCCTAACCACCCACAACCTACCCCCCCCCCCCGCCCCACAAAAACGCCCCACCACCCCCTAATTTGTTTTCCTTTTCTTTTTTTTTTCAAGAATCAGCGCTAATACTCCAATAAGTTGTTCTACTTTTCCTTATGATGTATGTATTTTGCATTATGTTGTGATTTTTGTAGATAATTCTTGATTTTAGTTGCAATGGGGTTTTAGACTCCAAGTTGGTATTGTAGTTGGTGTTTGGGGTTGTTTTGTATAAGTGTGGGGTGCAATTCTAGTTGACAATTTGTGTGTGGGATGGGTGGTGGTAGCATTTAACTGTATGTATTGATGGAAGCTTGTGGTGGGGTTTTATAGGGCGAAAGTGTATTGTTGTTGAGTGGTGTGGGGATAATAGTGGATGTTGTCCACCTTGGGTAATTGTTTGGTGCCAGCGTGTGGAGAAGTCTGAGTATCCATCCGACTGGCACATGTTTGGCTGGCCCTGATAGTTATGATGAATTGCTTACAAGTACTATGGTCCGAAGGAAGCGTAGGAACTCAGAAAGCACTTCTGCTAGGCCCACTTATGATGACACCCGGTTCACGTCCGAGGAGTCCCAGGACATGTTTCATGTGAAAGCCACTAAGAACTTTGTCCCGGAGATTGGTATTGACAGGGCTTCCCTCCGTGTTGAAAAGCCGGATATGTACGAAGAAATCCGCCGGAGGGGGATGGAGTACTTATTCGATGAACCGGACACGGCAAACCCAATGATAGTCCGGGAGTTCTACGCGAACTGCCCGAAACATATGTGTCGTTCGGTGATTGTCCGGGGCAAAGTAGTAGATGCCTCAGTCCGGAAAATTCGCTAGGTTCTGCAGTTGCCCCCATTCACTGCTGACAATGATTATTACCACAATTCTCCATGGGTAGACTGGGGCACTCTGACTGACTCCTTATGCTCAGGGGGAAGGCCAATTTGGATTCAGGAGAACATGACCCTGCATTCCAAGTCATTCACCTGTGAAGCTAAGTGTTGGTTCACTATGATTTGCA